ATTCGGTCTTACCTGATCAAGGCTCTGCTCAGCAGCTTTACGCTCGTTAGGATTGGGACTGCAAGCAGCAGCGCCAATGATTACAGCAAGGCTAGGAAGATCCATCTAGCTCAAATCGGGGAAATTCACAAACAGATTAAACAATCGGAAGGTCGAGAAATTCCCGGTCTTCCGGTCGTCTCTCCGGTGGAAATCGAAGAGACGAGAGTCAAAATCACGAGGAAAGACGAAGACGAAGAAGACGAGAGAGAGAGAGGTATAAGAAGAAGGTCTAGGGTTTTATGAATGGTTCGTTGGTCTAGTGGTAAGTCTCGCACGCGCGTGGGTAATAAGTGAAAAACCACGTGAGACACACACAATATAACCCAGACTTGCCTTGAGCTAGACCACCTCTTTTATTTTATGTTATTTTATTTTCGTATGGGTATGTGTTGACAAAAAAAAAAAGAATTGGGTTATTATATATATATAGACCAAGAGAAAATGTTAAAAGAGAAAAATTTTTTATAAATTTATTGAATAAAATAAATAGAATGAATTTAAGTGACTGTTTTTAGTATCTTTTTTAATTCTTTGATAATTGTATTCAATGTTGTAGTATCCTAAACTTAAATTCAAATGCATAGATAGAATGAAATTGTGAAAATGCATATATAAATTAATGTATTGTCATTGAATAATTACATAAATAGATAAAGTATCAAGTCATATTAATCATACTAAACAAACAATACATTTTCTTCTCTAGATGGTATAATTGTAAGAAAAAAAAATCAATAAATAAAAGTGTTTTATGAAATTTTGATATGGTGGGAAAGACTAGTTATTAAATTATTAGAAAATAAAACTTTTCTAATCATTGGTTGAAATAATGAGTATAATCTTCTGAATGTAATGGGGGCCATCCGACCTAATAGACAACTCATTGATTTCATCTTACGTCAGGGATAGATCATCAAATCAAATGACAAATGCAGATGATATCTTATGTTGAGAGTCAACAAAAATTGTATTTGGATGGTTACAAATGGGCCTCAGGTACAGAACAATAAATGGGCCTAGGGACTTTTTGCAGGCCACATTTTCTCAAAAGATCATTATTCTTGGGATATTTACAAAAATACCACAAATCAAATATATTTTGGAAGCGTGCCACCTCTGTGTATATTTTAACAAATCTGCCACTTTTTTCTCCAAAAAAGATAAGTTTGACCCATTAAAGAAATAAAACT